TTTAGCCCCCTTTCACCCTGTTCTTGAGCGGTCAGAACCCCCGCAGGACCACCACAGAGCAGGTATTATTTGGGTGTTGTTGGACACAGCAGTGATGCTGGAGTTTTTAAACACTGTGGCTACTCACTGTCCACTCTATTAGACACTCCTACCTTGTTGGTCCACCTTGCACACTCTTGAAAAAATGATGGTTCTTCAAAGACTCTTAAATAAAGAAAAAGGTTCTATGAAGAAAACTGAACACTCGAAGAACCCTTTGCATGATTAAAGGGTTCTTTGCACCATAAAAGTTTTTTTTCAGCTTGTGCTATACATGGTTCTACACAAAACTGTTTTGAAAAGTGTTCTATATAGCATCCAAAAGGGTTCTTCTATTGTTAGAAACTTGACATCATAACAATAGGAGGAACCTTTAGGATGCTGTATAGAACCATTAGGGCTCTATATAGAACCATTTTCTTTACTAAAGAACCTTTTAACCCATCTTTTTAAGTGTATAGACATAAAGTTAAAGATGATAGCTCATCTGTTGCTGCACAGTTTTGGTTATCCTTTAATCCTTCATCAGTGGTCACAAGATGCTGGCCACAGGACACTGTTGGCTTTTTTTTGGTATTCTCACTCCAGCAGTGACCCTGAGATGTTTAAAGCATTGCTGTACCAAAACCACACACACTACCATGCCAGTATCACTGCAATGCTGAGAACAAAATAATAACAATACCTGCTCCGTGATGGTCCTGGTTGGGGTCCTGATCATTGATAAATGAGGTGAAAGGGTTAACAAATTATGCAGAGAAACAGGTCAGCTACATTCTGCAACTGCAGAACTACAATGTGCACCTATACATTAAATGAAACATAAGCATAGATTCAAGGTGGTTACATTTACAAGACATGATACAGAATATAGTGGCTTAACGTATGACATTATTTTCTTAGAACTGGGGAAAAGTATTGATTGCTCAGCTCTGATCACCTGTGTTGTACTACCTTTCTTTACTTGTTTACGATTTTACTGAAGAGCTTGACACCAACTGTGTTCTTTTATTCCTTAGTACTGATTTCCAATGAATATTTTTAGTTAACTGAACTTCAGAAAGCTTTGTTTAGTGAGTTTGAATGTAACGGTTACATTAACTAAATTTTCTTCGTTCAACAAAGAAAGAAAAGTTAGCACAACTCAAAGAGCTTTGCTTGAGACTAATCGTACTTCTCAGTGCAACAAATGTTCTCATGTTAGCTCAGCTAAATATTTTTTTTGTGTTGACCAAAAATCAAGACCAAGTCAGTCTAACTTACTAATTTACAAAAGTTCAGTGAATTTTGAAAATTCTGTATTTTTTTGTTGTGCAAGCTAAACATTTTTACAGTGTGAGCTTAAAGGGGAATTCCACCAATTTTTTTTATTTCTGCATAATTAAATGGCTAAGATGTAAACAAAGTCATGCAGAGAGGTCTGATGTGAAATGTCTGAAGAGTTTCATCACAAAGTTATTACATGAAATAGTTATGAATAGACTGCATAATGTCTGAGACACTGTTTTGCAACAGTTTTGTGATAAAGTTTCAGCTTAAAATCTACTTGAAGCCAGTTATTTTAATCCACTCCTGGCTGTGAGGTACACATAGGTCCCAAAAAAAACTTACTTTTTTCAGATTTAGGATATTTTATCATCAACATTCCATATAAAACTCAGTAGACACATATAGGTTCACTGGTGGTTTTGGATAATAAATAAATTTGTCTGTTATAGTAAATAAGCCTGTAAGTTTCTCCACAATAAACTATTTCACATCAAACCACTCAAAACCACTCTCTGAATGACTCTTTACATCCCAGACTATATATATATATAGTATTTGTTTTTGTTGCTGGGATTTATTAAACTGAAAGGAGGTGAAATTATTTGATGTCAATATGGAAAACTGAGGAGTGAAGAAAATTTGTGATGGCTGGTAGTTCATAGAACTGCCAAGTACAGTGCACTAGTAATAAGTGGCATTGTATGTACATTTTAGAGTGTAACTAATTGACATAATATGAAATTGTTAACACATTTTAATCCCTTTAATGATTAATGACAAATATACAATGAATAAAACAATGAAATGCTTCCAGTGAATTCTGCAGTACCTCGCCTTTACACTAGCTGTCAGTATTTTCCATTCTCCTCCCTTGAGTGCATCACTTCCAGAGTACGAGGAGTTCTCATGTCAACTTTCACTTTCATAAGTATTGATCTTTACGTAGATGCTCAGCATTATTTTTGTGTGTACACTTTCACTCGGTCTTATGAAGCACTTCGATAAAAAAAGGACTATGGAAATGTTCAAATCATCCTGCTTAATCTGGACATAGTTTAATTCTTTTAAGTAGTCAAATATAGAAATTATACATTTAGACAACATCATGTAATGTTAAGGGTCCATATGTAAAGCTGTTAGACCGGACCCCCTTAATCCAGGAGAGAGGAGAGGAGAGCCTATCATGAAGTAATATAATAATACTAATAGTGTCAAATTGTCTGAGATCGGCCCATTTAGTATTCATCCCATTATCATATATTATCATATATATCATATATGATTTATTTAAACCAAAGACAATAATTGATATAGTAATCAGCTAAATATACAAAATCTTCTTTTAAAAGGTACTTTCCATTGGGAGGTGTCTGTCCCAAACCCTAACCACTACATTTCAACCTGTGAAAATAATACTTATAATTTTCTTTGTATTTTTCAGTGTTTCTTTTAAGTATTTTTTTAATTACTTTTTTCATTTTCAAATATTTAAAAAGTGCTGTGCCATGTTTTGCCATGTCGTTACTAAAACACAGAGTTTTAGTCTGTAGACAGAGCTTAATTTTAGCCACACCCCTGCATTTCCCAGCAGGCAGTGAGACTTCACATGGTGGGCGGTTAGATTTCTTTGTAAATGTGTTCCAAAGTCTGAAAATCAGTGTGTAATAATAAGAATTGTCACTAGCGAAACATATATTTTCTACAATCAAATAAACTTTTTTGTGTTTTAATGAAAAATATTTTTAGGTTTTATGTGTGTACAACTGTTCAAAGCTATGTCTGCTAGTAACATACAGTCACAACCAAAACATTTGTGAAGTTTTTTTCCTAAATTTCTTCTCAATTTATCCACCCACTAGTTAGGACTATCACCCCCAATCACACAATTCCACCAGCTCTAGGAGGGCTAAAGCTGGGACAGGCTTCCTCTGAGATCTGTGAAGCACCACCGCATCTTATCGAACTGCCTCTAACGCAACGTCATCGTACAGCTAAATGCGCTCGGAGGAAAGTGCCAACTGCCAGTTCTTTTATGTCAGCTCACAGACGCCTGCCCTGGCTAGCACTGTACTTGTTGATCAGGGGACACAGGAGGTGGAGGGGCATCCTACCCACAAAAAGAGAGCGAGGCCAGTTGTACTGATGACAGGGCCAGCTCTTAGACAGTTGCACCACTTTGGAGCCCTCGTTTGCTAAATTTTTGGCAGTGTTATGATTGTTCTGGTAGTGACAAAATGGAATGTTCAATCTTTTTTTTGGTAAAATTAACATAATTAAGGTACAGAGTCACTCAAAGCAAAAAGATTTTAGTTTACAGTCCAAGTCAGTTAAATCTGAAATGTGTTTTGAACTCTGACTTTGAACCAGTTCAGTAGAATAATCCAGTAACTTTTCTAACCACTGATTGGAGGCCTAAGAAAATTAAGCAGGGTTGGGAATTGGTCAATTATTGTTAGTAAAAAGCAGAGGCGATTATAAATTAATAATATAAGAAACAGATGTGATTCACAGACCCCCAAAACGTAGCCCCACATGCAAGTGCACACCCTGCATAGCCAGACGCTCCGACACTGACTTTACTACTTTATTTAACATCACTCACAAAGCAGAAGATCAGTAGGGAAAGCAATCTGAGTGTCGGTCATATTATTAATAGTATAATTCTATGAAAATTAACCATTTTTAATACATTTTTCCTGGTGAGCCACACTTTATTTCAAGTTTTCACTCTAGAAGTGCTGAAAGTGTTTTTGTTCTCATCTTCAATTGAGAATGAATTGTTGGTTTTCGTTCCTTGTACAGTTTGTAACACTGACTGAATCATCCTCACCTGTAAGAATGAAACATCTTCAGCTCCCATCTCCTCTTCTACGGCTCTGATTGTGTCTGAAAGTGCTGATATCTCTCTGCTCATCTTCTCAATCTTCTCCTTCATCCTCTGACTCTTCTGCTCCTCTTCCTCCCTCAGTGCTGATATCCTGGCTGCCTCTTCATCTCGTAGAAACTGGTGAAGCTTCTTAAACTCCTCCTTAATCTGTCTCTCTGTGTGTTGGGCCTGAGTCTGGAAGGAAGCAGTAAATCAAATCAAATATGAATGATTATGTGAGGATGTGGGTTCAGAATCATAATCTCAGAAGATTTTGTTATTCTAACCTTTATATGTTCTGCAGTCTGATCCAAATTCAGTTTAAACCTTTTAAAGATCTTTAGTTTCTTCTTCAGGGGCTTCAGTGCAGTTTTGAGTTCTTCCAGTAATAAATCACCTTTTTTGTGAAAAACAAAGCTAGATACAAAAATTGCCGCAATTGTTCCTCAAAATGTGAATCCACTTGAGAAAAATGAATCATTTAGTAAAGTGATGACAAATTGGTTTCATTTTCAGCCTGAAATTTAGTGAACTTAGTGAACTTCTGACAGTGTGTTTGTAGCCTACCTTTTTCTATTTGTGAGACTAGCCCCCAGTTAGTCAGGTCCACCATTACCCGCGATCTGACGCCCTGCTAATATGCGAAGCTACACCATAACTTTAAACTGGCTTCACAACCAAAAATTAACTTTAAAGGCCCTTTGGATCCTGTATTTTCACAAAGAGAACTGATCCTATTTCCTTTAATCTTATTTCTGAATAAGAACCATCTGATTGACATATAATAATCACAGATGTGCTCTGACATTTTTATGGTTTAATCAATTTTAATGTTACTCATTCCACATTTCATTTTTGTCAGATAAGAATCACATCATCATATAAATTTGATGACAAAACTGACAAACAGGGAAAACTTAAAACTTCCAAACAAATTAATTGACTTCATTAAGCCGTTCAGACAGAAACTGACAGGCTGTTAGTTTTAATCCCATTTTCATGGTATCAGTGTTAGAACTCCATATAGAACCACATACACTGAACAGAGTTCACTTCCTACATTGTTGACACTCATTGGAAAAATAGGGCTCCCCCACGTCCCAAATTCCAGTTTAACCCCTGATCTTAACCAAACTTACAATAGACAAAAACAATACAAGACAAAATACAGGAAACCCAACAACCTGGTTTGTGTTACTGTTATCAGGGTCACAGAAGAGCTTCAGAAATGAAGATGAACTTTCCACAACTGTGTTTAAGCAACAATGAGAGACAGTAAAGCTCACGCTGATGTAAGAAGAATCTTATGAATGGATGTGTTCAATATCTCAACATAAATATGATTAATCCACCAACTATCATACTTGCATATTTTTTCAATGTTAATCTGCATGATCGTCCATTTTTTACATACTGAGCAAGAAATATATACATATATGTATATGTAGTGTTTTTTCAGACTGTTTCAGACTACTTTAATGTAGTTTCCATTAGTGTTTAAAAAAGCAGATAAACCTTCTACAAATGTGTTTAAGCAGCTCAATAAGATTCCTCAAATAATCCCAGCTCAGCTGCAGTAACTGAACAGGTCTTATAACTGCAGTGATCATTTCAGTATTAATCAGTATTTCAGTGCTGATCCACACAAAGACTGAATGAGCTCTAACTGAGCTGATTCACTGATACACCAAACTGCACTTCTGTGATTTTCACAGGGCTGATGTCACGAGTACCAAACAGTGGAAAAACTCTCTCAGTGAATGTGTGTGTGAAAGTGTGTAAGTGTGTGTTAGTGAGAGGATCAGAGAATGAGAGTTTTCCTCTGTCCCAGTCCAGCTGCACTCTGACCCTCTGCAGTTTCTGACCTACTGAGAGGTCAGTTTCTGTTTGTGGTGAAGAACAGGCTCCATATTCACCTCTGTAATACCACACACACCACACTCCACTCCTTGAGTATATACTTCCCTTCTTCTGAGCAGATTCTGTCATCACACCCAGAATCCAGTGTTTATTGTTTCCAACTTCAACATCCCAGCAGTGAGTTCCTGAGTTAAAGCCCCAAGAGCCCAGGGCACATACACCCATATCAAATCTCTCTGGATTATCAGGAAGCTGCTGTTTCTCATTACTATATCTCGCACTGGTCAGATCATCAGACAGGATGAGATCAGGATGAGCAGTGTTGGGGTCCAGAGTTACAGGAGCTGAAGAAAAAATACAAACATGTAATTTACACAGAAATAAAAATACATCATGAGTTTAATCATACACTGTAAACAATTACAACAGCCTAATTTACTGGCATCAAAGTTGTCAGGTAGTTATTTTAATTAATATTTACTGCACTCACACTTTAATGTTAATTTACAGTAAAGATGTATTGTAGTTTTAAATGCAAAACTATATTTACAAGAGCACATACTACCAGAAGTATATTACTGTAATCAACATATCCTATTTTGTGACTATTAAATATATGCACATACATGTTAGGAAATGAAAGAGTTATGCAGCAGTTAAATTGCATCTGAAATCATTTAAAAACCATCAACAATCCTAAAAAGCTAATCGACTGTTTCATTTCAGCTTTTCATAAATACACCAAGCTATCAATCCAAAAGCTAACAGGCTCCTCTAATAATATTCACAGTTAGGCTATAAGTTGGAAAATTTACTAAAAGGTTCACTGAAAAACTGCAATATTCAAATAAATAAAAAATATGCTACATGCAGATCTTATAAGCTCCAAAAGTCAGTGTTTAAGCTCGAGCTGTAAAGTATTAAACTCAATGTGGGAAAGTAGACTTAGTAAGCCAAAATAATGACTTTCAGAAAGTGTAATTATTTCAATATAATACCTAGTTATTTTGACATAAGTTATTATTTTGATATATTAATTAAACAATTTCAAGAAGTCAAACAAAACAAAATGACAATCTGCTGCCAGAAATAGGAAAAAACATCAGGCTAGCCTTTTATTGGACAGGCGTCTCTGAAACAACACCATGTTAGCGCCAAAAACAAGACAAGCTTTTCACTAGCATCAAATAAAGCTCATAATCACCAAGTATGGCCAAATCTACCCTCAGGGAGACTTGCGTGAGCAAGCTGGAGCTCTGTGTGCTAAAGGGCATTTAATACATACAAGACATAACATACTGAAAAATTATGTAAAAATCATCTGTTACGTTGAAAATCACTTAGAGCAACACAGACCACAACTACAGATTGATTAGAAGTCTTCCCAATGAAACACTGCATTTTGTATGAGAATGGAATTTGATTTGTTTTCTGTGAGAGTTGTTACTGTATTGTGGCAAATCAAAATCCTGACTCTCTCCATGTCATTTCTGAACGTGTGGGTCGTCCTGCCTTATTTACGTTTCTTAACGCTCCAAACACTGATTAACATCTGCTGCTATCTGCCATTACCTCAGTCAAGCGTTAGCAGATCCTGACAGAGTAGAGGCTGCTGTTTTCTACACATTTCCAAAGACAAAAACAGATTGAAATAACATCAGTTTATGTTTAAAAAAGGTTTCTGCGTCATTGTTGCCAGTGGTTTCTGAGCTTTCTTGCTCAGATCAAGAGCATCAATTGTCTTGTACTGATGTTAAGAAAGAAAGCGTCTCATTCTATGCACAAAGTCGTCAAAGATCCAAAGATACAATGTCAGTGTACGTTAGTTTAGAATGATTTGTGGTTTAGTTTTTTAAATTTCCTTGTATTGTTCTTCCTGAATGTTCATGTATACATTTCAGCAAACTTTCAGGATGCATGTTTTAAAGAGAAGGGAAGAGTGATTTTTGTGTTTTTTTTTTGTTTTCTCCATATGGATTCATCTCCTGTTCCATAGCTATTCAGAACATGAAGCCTCATGGATGACAGCCGTGAGAGCCAGCAGGAAGGCGGGGCCCTAACTCTGAGCGAAGATGAACCCTTAATTTGTCTTGTGTTCGATCCGGGTGGCCAAGCTGCTGAGCGGGGTGCAGTGACGGGGAGGCAGAGCAACAAGCTCTCGTCCCCTCTTGGCTCAGGTGCTCAGCACCTTATAACAAAAAGAGAGAAGAGAGAGGAACAAGCAGCAACGACAGACTGAAGACTAAAGAGCTGAAAAGCTTGAGTGAGAAAAGGACTGAAAAGTCTCGTTTTTAAGCCACTGAAAAGTGGCCAGCTTTGATGAGGTTGTTTGGTTTGTTTTGTGTTGTTTTGGAGTGAAAAATAAAGTGAAATGGCTGCTGCGACTCTGAACACTGCCTCCAGCGTCCGCCTTGAGCCCGGGGCAGCACAAGTCATGTTACACCTACTAAATGGTTAATTTATATTGTCTGGCTTTAAATTTAGTAATAGTTAGCTGTGCATTCAGAGGAAAGACGGCTTCCTGCAGCTGTAATGCTGTGTTCATCAGTTTAAAAAATCAGATAACATTTTTACACAGATGAAAAGGGTCATTAGAAAAAAATTTGCTTATTAATTTATCCCTTAATTTACTTCAATACCTGGTTTATTATGATACACTGGTTGCAGTGGATGCTCATAGTGTGTGTGTGTGACTCATGGGGAGGGATGACTATAGCGGGAGTAAGAGGATAGGGGGGCCTTAGACCTTCAACACCCAGTGACTTGTGGGGGTCTTAATCTGGCCTAGTCAGTATTTACTATCAGCATTTGTAAATCGGAGCAGATGCTTTATTATAATAATCTGCTCCCATCACAACAGTAACTTTTTATTGGCAAAATAGGATTTATGACAGTGCAAAACCTTAGTGGATCTGCCCCAACATATGTGAGAAAAATAAGACAGAATGGAAGAAAGAAAATAAGAAAGAAACAAAGAAAAAAAGAGAGCTAGAGAAAGTGAGACTCACTAAACTGAACGATCTTCTGCATCTTCTCCCAGACTGTGAACTTCAGGTTGGCCAGGTGTTTCTCCACATGGAGCAGCGCTCCTGAAAGGCTCTCTGGATCCTGCTTTGTGAACGGAGCTCTGGAAGAACATTCAAGACTCAGTGCTGCTGAAGCTTTGAGTTCAGAACCACAGAAAAGAGAGAGAGACAGGAGACAATAACACTCACCTTTTCACTGTGGCCTTGTAGTTCTGTAAAACAATGAGAGTGGTATCAGTGAATGTGCTCTTTATTCATTCATGTATTTATTTTTTTATTTTACAAAATAAGAATCATGCACACAATGCAAATACCACAGGGATCGTAGGTAAGAAATTTATGTAGAATTCCACTAAAGTAATACATAAACATTTCCCATGTCTGTACAGATGTTTCTTATCAGATTTAGGAAAAAACACACCTGTTTCTTACTATGAATCAGGTCAAACATTACAATATGTTAGAAAAAGGCCAAAATTGACCCAGTAATAACCTTTACTCCACTTGTGAAGTGGTCAAATCTGTGTATCTGTGAATATTTTCATTATTTTTTTAAACATAACTATACCCAGTAAACTCATAATACATAATTGTGTACAGAAAAAGTACATTCTTGATGTTCTGCTTTGCTGGATTCAGTCGTACACAGTTTATTAGAAAACGTCCAGTGATTCTGCAGTACCTCTTCTTTCCACTAGTTTTAGTCAGTATTTTACATTCTCCCCCAAAATATGAGTACATCACTTCCAGAGAATGTGGAGGAGTTCTCTCATCAACTTTCACTATCATTAAATATTATAAATATATATAACAAATAATTTTCATGAAAATCTTTACATAGTTACGCATTATTTTTGTGTGTACGTATAGTCACAGAGCTAGAGCTGTATGAAGCAATCAAATGTGCCAGATTCTCTGCTGGTACTTGTAACGCCTAAATTTCACTTTCCCAATTCTCTTTATAAACCATTTTAAAAAATGAGGTCTATGAAAATGTCTGAAATCACATCTACAAAATCACTCTGGATAATTTTAACCTTGTTTAATTCTTTTGACTGGACAAGTTTTAAAGTAGAAAATAAAGCCCCGGAGTGGAGGACGACATCATATGAATTCTTAAATCAGGAGTAAACAAACATAGGCCTCCTGTTATTTAATGCTCAGATTGTTGTATTATATCTTGCACCCAATCTTTAATCCCATGCTCTGCTGAGAGATCTTTTACCCTTGCCATGAAAACCCTCTGTTGTCTAAACCAGTTTTTAATCGCCCTTCTGAAGACCCTGGTAATGGGTCTGTTGATTGTTCTTTTCTTTAAATTTTGACTGTTTTTATTTAATATTTAATGTTCTTTGCAACATCATTTCATTTTAGATTGTGTGCTGCATGCTGACACAGTTTTTACTAGTCACAAGTTTAGCTGACTTCTGAAGTAAATGCCTGAGCATGTTTGAATCCACCCAGGAATATGAATATCCTACGCCAAAAAAATTTAGGTAGGCTGGAACTTCTCCTGTACTGATTGGGCCTTGTTACAGGTTTTTTACCCATCCCTGGTAGTGGATTCTACTTTTAAATGTGTTATTCCTATGGAATAAAAAGGAGGAATGAAGGGAATTCCATGGATTTCCTTAAAAGGATAATCTTTTCTGTACAATAAACCTCTTCTACAAGCACACTAACTTCGTTATAAATTGGTCATCTTATGTCTTTCTGTCTGAACAAAACGTCTTGACCAGTAAGTTTAAAAAGACACATGTACATTTCCTGGCATCCATGCCTTGCTCAGCCATGGTTTCCTGTTCTTAATCACCCCAGCTTAGCTGTATGTTGTTCTCAGAAACCTTGTTCATCTGTGTATTGGCTTACTGCTACTCATGTATGCTTCTAAATGTATAAAGAGACCCTCCTATTCTAAAAATAAATAAATGTGTCTGAACATCAATGCGCCTGTGTCTGTGTCTCTTGATCTAACACACTCCTGGATCTCCGATGGAGAATAACCAGATAAAGTGAGGTCAAGTTGGAATCGCTGATATGGGATCTGCATGATGTGATTGAAAATGAAAGGTGAGCCACAGAAGAAATGGTCATATTCAAATTGAAAGAGAATGTGGTAGAGTCAAGCAAGATCTGGAAAATCAGCTACAGGATTTAGGTCAGTCAGTATCAGACTGTCTCAAGAGACGAGACGTATAACTCAAGTGTATGGTTTCCCGACACCAACCCAGCTCACCTATCCAACCCACGCCAAGCCCATACCTAGTATCAAACCCCACTACATCCACTCCAGCAGGTGTTTCTGACAGCTGTTCTTATGTGCTGAAGTATACAGCACCAATCAAACTTGACTTCCCCAGATATGGCAGTTCAGAGCAAGATCCTGTGGATTTTATTGAAAGATGCGAGGAGCATCTAGCTGTGAGACCCCTCAGTGATGCAGAGATTTTAGCCACTTTGACATCTGTTTTATCGGATACTGCAAAAGACTGGTGGTTAGCAGAAAAAAAATGCATCAAGAGTTCAAATCAATGTTTTTACACTCCTTTTTATCTGAAGACCATGAAGAGGAGGCAGAAAAGTGCTTACATGAGAAAAAAGAGGGAGCTGATGAAAGCATTCAAGAGTTTGCATTTTGCTATCGTGCATTATGTCTATGGTGGAAGACCTCCATGAAAGAGAAAGACATTATACATACAATTTTACGTAACGGCTAGTGAGTATTTTAAGGGAGACAGTTTTCACGGTAGATAAGTTGGTATGGCTCTGCACTTTGGCAGAGAGAGATCTGTCTGAGGAAAGATCATATTGGACACAAGCTCAACAAGAAGCCCAAAATCAAAATAAAAGGCCTGACAATAGACCACCAAAAAAGCGATCCAACCATACCGCAGCTTTACATTGTGAGCAAACACATCTGGAGGTAAAAACACTCAGTTTTCCAATCTACTTGAGAAGTCATAGATATGACACTGTAGTTGACACCGGCAGTACTTTTTTGTTGATTCAGGAATCACACTGGATGTAAGTAAAGGCTGTCAGTGAGATCTGGAGGTCAAGTCAGGGTCAGAAGTTCACATTGGCTAATTGGCAGTTGCAGACTGCGCTTGGAAGGGTGACTTGGCAATGTACATTGCATGGACATGATTTCTCCATTGAATTATTCATCTTTAGAGACCAAGACCACGTTTTTCCTATCATACTAGGACTGCAGTTTTTATTAACAGCAGGAATCGTTCTGGATTTTACCAATTACCAATATACCTATAGGCTATCCGTTTATGGTGACAGTGCTCATAGCTTTGCATGTTGTAATAGTAATCCTGTTTTCAACCCCAGCAGTCTGTATCTTGCTACAGGGAAGATCACAGTATCTGCAAAGACCATTCAGCAGTTGGTGGAACAGGCTGATGCTACACCTACAGAAATGCAGCAGTTGGAAAGCATGCTTTTGAGTTGTCCAACAGTTTGCACCGACAAACTAGGACATACTACAGTCATCAGTCACCAAATACTAACTGTAGATGAAATTCCAATACAAAGAAAAGCCTACCCTATTCCAGCAGCAAAACAACAATTCTTAGATAAGGAGATTGAGACCATGCTTTAGCGATGGCATCATCGAACCCTCAACATCTTCTTGGTCAGCTCCTGTTGTCCTAGTACCAAAAAAGGATAGTGGAACACCTGTCTGTGTAGACTGCAGGGCCCTAAATGCCAAGACACACTTGGACAGATTTCCCATGCCACAAGTCCAGGACATCTGTGAATCACTCCATGGAGCTAGTGTTCAGTACAGTGGACCTGAAAAGTGGCTACTGGCAGGTCAGTATGGACCCAAACAGCATCCTTAAGACTGCATTTGTGGTTAAGAACAACTTATACCATTTTGTATGCCTTCCTTTTGGTCTAAAGAATTCCGCAGCTACATTCCAGCATTTGATGAATTCTGTGCTTAAAGATGCCATAGGCAAGTTCTGTTTTGTCTATACTGATTACACTGTGGTCTATTCCAGCTCTGTTGAACAGCCCCTCACCTACTTTCAACATGTTTTTAGCCTGTTGGAGAAATCTGGCCTTACCCTCAATCTCATAAATTGCAATCTTTTACAAAAATCTCTCACATATCTCGGTCATGTCATCTCACATGAAGGAATCAAGACAGAGGCAGCCAAAATCGAAGCAGTGAAGAACTTCACAGTGCCTCGCAACATAAACGAAGCACAAAGGTTCCTGGGGCTTGCAGGTTGGTATCATAGGTTCATACCCAGATTTTCAGGGTGTGCAGCACCACTCAATGCCTTAACTGTTCCTAATTTAACATGTCCGTTAAAGTACAAACTGATGCTAGTGAAGTAGGTTGGGCGTAGTTCTCACACAAGACTGGGATGGAGCTGAACATGTAATTGCTTATGCTTCATGATGGCTGAATAGTGCTGAAAAGAACTATTCTTTTTCTGAAAAAGAGTGTCTAACAGTCGTGTGGGCTGTTGAAAAGTGGTGGCACTACCTTGAAGGGCGACATTTTGAGGTGTACACAGACCATGCTGCTTTGACCTGGGTGTTCAACCAACCTCGACCATCCTCACGTCTCATAAGGTGGGCCATATATTGGCAAGGGTTTGATTTTAATGTGCACTACAGTAAAGGGAGATGTAATGTTGTCCCAGACTCACTTTCTTGCAGTATGCCTGAAGTTCAGCCTTGTCTCCTAGCTACTCACAATGCTCTTCCTCAAGGTGAAGACCTACCGAATAATTGGGAGGAGATTGGGAAGCATCAGAAGGAAGATCCTGCACTTCAACCCCTATGGCAAGCCACAAAAGGTACAGATAAATCCCCCAACCATACGCAATATGCAGAACACAATGGGTATCTGTTCCGAAGTATAATGAACACCCAACAAGGACAAATACTTCAACTAGTAATACCCACCATGTTAAGACCAAAATTCCTTCTCTTTGCTCATGATAACCCCTTAAGTGGTCATCTTGGTCGCATGAAAAACCTTCAGTAGGTTACTCAGTGTGGCTTACTGGCCTGAAATATGCAAAGACGTATGGATGCACTGCAAGCAATGCGCTACCTGCGCTAAATGGGACCTTAAAAACCATGAACACATCCTTTGTCAAAGATAATCATTGTTCTTAGGGCCTGTTCTTGGATTCCAGAATTCAGATTCACAATCAATGTTACCTACCATGTTGAAAAT